GTCTGGATCATTTTTGCTTGCATCTCTGCTGTTAATCATAAATAATGCATGTAAGATAAAGTCATAGAAATTAAAATAAAGCCCGGCTTCCCACCCATAAAATTGTCTCATATCTAGCAATTTTTGGTTTAGGAAAAAATGTTTTTAAAAAAAATCAAATTGTGTCTGAAGCAGAGCACTCACAGAGTAGGCTTTTATCATTACAACAGCACTGAGTTTTTATATGTTGATTGGGGTTCTGTTCTCCACCTGCTCATGAAAGTAAATATATTGCAAATTACCTATGTTAGACTCTGTATTATCCCCTGGTTGCTAAGTCCTAGAAATAAACAGAGCTATCTGCACATGTGGAAATCATAGGTACTGTATAAATGGATGTGTATTGAGTAGGCATATTCCACCAAGGTTTGAGTATTTGTTGGAGTGCATTAGAGCTCATCTTTTCATTTGTTGTGATTCTGAATCTCTGAAGTGTCTGTAGCTGTCATAGACACTTCCTTCCCTTAGACAAATAAAACGATAATAACACCATTTCCTTATTTAATGGCATATGTCATTAGAAAAACAGCCTTGAACTCAGAGTCAGGAGGCCAGTGTTCTTGATCTTCCCCTACCTCTAACAGATATCTGGTCATTGACCATCCCTGACCTTTCTAACTGTAATTCGTTCATCTGATAAATGAATTAGATAACCCTAGAAGAATTAGATAACCTGCATTAGATAACCCTAGAAGACCTTTTGTGACAACATCCTACAACTATACAAAAAAAAATGTAAACCCATTAATAACTAACCAGAAACTGACATTTCCCAAACTTTATGTCATCTCAAGGAACAGAGTTGCCAAGATAATCGCCTTTCTGTCCTCTGAAGAAAGCACAGCTAAATGGTTCTAATCTGAGGTTTTATGAAGGTGTTTTCACATAGTGATTCAAAAACTATTCACATTCTCTGCAAAATAAGTGGGAAAATGCAATAAATGTTTTCAGAACATTCAGGAAAAGGGGAGAAGTTGAACAGCAAACAGAACAATAGTTCATATTTGTGTGTAGGATACCCTATTAAGTCACCATTACAGGAAGTTGGGCTGACAACAGATCAAAGGAATTATCTATTCCCTTCCCAACAAATTTTCATGTATGTATTTATATTCATTCAGTAATTTAAAGGGATATGTATTAGTCAAGCTTCTCTAGAAAAACAGACCCAATAGAATGTATATGTTTTACAACTGGGGATTTATTAGATTGGCTTACACAATAGGGCTGAGGCATCTAGCAACAGACACCTGTTCTGGAGAAGCTGAGAACACACTATATGCCCCATCTATGAAGCTGACTCTCTCAGTTTTCCAAACTAGCACTGAAGGCCTAGAAGATTTGAGGACAGTTGCTGTAGTCAAAGTTGAAAAGGCAAGAATCTGGGTTCTGCTGTCAAAGGATGGCAACAGGGAGAACAGCAGCACTAAGAGCAGCAAGGGAATAGATGCACTCCTGAGCAGAAAGAGAAGACAATCGGTACGCATGGCTTTTTTCCTAGACTGATTCAGATCTGGGCTGCCAGTACTGATTGTTCATTCTGGGAAAGGTCTTCTCCTCTACCTGGAAATTCCTAGAAACCTGTCTCTTGGCTGATTTCAGATCCAAGTAATTTTGACTAACCCTCACACAGTGCTGGAAAGATGGCTCAGCAGGTAAGAGCACTTGCTACTCTTCCAGATAACCCGAGTTTAGCTCCCAACATCCACACCAGGCAGCTGAAGTTACAACTGCCTGTAACCCAAGTCCCAAGGAATCTGAAGCCTTCTTCTCGCCAGTTTGGGCACCTATGTGGCATATACACACAGAGATAGATAAGTAAAATTAAAATAAATAGTTTTTAAGTAACCATCACAGCATATCATGTGCCAAGTACTCTTCTGGACACTGGAGACAAATAACCCAAGCAAAGATTCAGTGTGGATAGCATTTGCATGTTAATATGGGGCTGATTATGGCAGTGCCACATATGAGCAAAAAGTAATTTGGATTCAGAAAGTGAACATCACATGAAGGATGCAACCAAACACTGACTATGCTGATAGCATGGTGGGGCTGTCAACGCACTAGTTAGGGAAGGAGGTAATCACTGAAGGCCAAGAAGGGCTCACTCCATGCAAATGTGCCAACAAGGCCAGGTCCTGAGGCTGGAGAGTGACTGAATTTCCAATGGAAAGCAGAGAGACCATGGTGGTGAGGGTAGACTGGTGTCCAAGGTGAGGTCAGAGAAAAAGCCAGAACCTGATCACATAGGAACTTTCAGGTAATAGTCAAATATCTAGTATTTTCTTAATCTCTGAAGTTACTATAATCTACCAGGCATTCTATTATCTATTATTCTAACATGCAGCTTATACCCTTGTGGCTTCTGGAAAAGAAACTAATATTTACCTAACGGACTCCATGTCAACAAAGCACAGAGATGTTTGCACATTCATGTTTATTTCAACTTGTACCCTTGTGGCTTCTGCAAAAGTAAATAAGATATACCCAAAGGATTCCATGTCAACACATCACAGAGATATTTTCACATTCGTGTTTATTTTAGTACTGCTCAGAATAGCTAAATTATAGGACCAACCTAGGTGCCCAACAACAAATGCATGCATAGATAAAGAATGTCTCATTGTAATGGGACTGGCCCAGATAAATAAGGTTGGTGACCCTGACCTTAGTGCCAAAGAAGGGCTAGAAGTAGAGGTTTGGGGGAGAAAAAAAGGAAAAGGTTAATGATATGGGGAGTTATCAGAGATCTGGCTAAAACTAAAAACAAAAGGGGGAGGAAAGGATTACAGAACAGTAACATCCAGAAGAAAGCCAGAGAGCAGGTGAATAGCCCAGAGCTTGAGTACAGATTAAACTGAATGGATAAATAAAGTAATCACAGGGTTATCCAGTAATGGTTAGTTTTAATTATAATCTTCACACACCAGGTAAGAGAGTATCAGTGAGGTATTGTTAAGACATGTTGATACACAGGTGAACTCAGAGGACCATGCCACAGCAGAGGTCATACAGATAAGGGTGACCTGTGTTACCTTCAGGGGCCAGGGTGTCATCTGGGCCCAGGCTGCTGCTGAGGGCCATGTCAGGGTCCATGGCCCCACTGCAGCCAGGGTCTGTACTGATATCTGATGTTCCTGTTACCATGGAAGATCATGCAGACACCCAAGGTCAAGGACCAAGTTGATATTTAAGGACTGCTGGAGGAAGTGGTGACATCCTGACCCAACTGCTTTCCAGGACCATGTTAGGGTTCATGGACCTTATGGGGATGGGGTCTGAGCTGAATTCCACGTCCTGCATTGCCTTGCCATCAGTGGTCACATAGAGGCTCAAGGTGGTGTCTGGAGGCCACACGGCTGCCAGACTCATTACCAACTGAGCGGATAGTCCTTTCCCCCAGAGTCAGGGTGTTGTCTGGTCCTAAGCTTCTGCCAAGGACCATGTCTGGGTCCATGGTCCAGCTGCAGCTGGGGTCTGTGTTGATGCCTTATAGCCAGTGTCACTCAGGAAGACTTGGGAACCATTCGAGATTAAATCAGAGGGCTCTTCTGAGCCAGTTCCACCCTTCACTGGCCTGGGAAAGCAGGCCTTCCCTCTAAATTCCCACTATAGCTAGAGAACTGGCCCCTGCACTCTGGAGAGAGCGCCCCCATCCCTCACCACAGGCAAGAATGAACCTACCCTGAGGGCATATATGTAGAGAAACAGACTCCACCCCTGTAACAGAGGTGGGTGGCTCTGGTGGCTTGATGTGATCTGCCTGACTAATACCCAAGCCCACAACGGAACCTTGGGCTTACCCACCCCAGCATCTACCCCATCTGGGTCTTGTGGCTCATGAATGGACTGGCCCTATGGAACAATACCTGCAAGATCTCCAGGACTCTGGGTGGCCACAGGATAGTCTAGAGGAGCTCTGATAAGGATACATTGAGGATGGCTTACCTTAAACCAGAGACCTTGAACCAGACCAGTGACTCATTGCAATGAACATTTGCCAGTCAAGCTGATGGAGGTATACTATATGATACACCGAAACCTCCAGTGCCACCAGCAAGAATGAAAATATGATGGAGAGGCAGGAGAGAAGGGAAAGCAGAGAATTTTCTGTTTCTGGTTTTATAATTATTTGTTTTTAGTTTATTTTAGGTTTTTTGTTCTTGCTTTTGTTTGTTTGCTTGCTTGCTTAGTTTGCTTTGTTTTCTTTTGTGGGGAGGCACAGAAAGGATGGAGGTATATGGGGGTACCAGGAGGTAAACAGAATTGGAATGTATGATGTGAAACCCCCATATATTCAATAAAGAAGTTACAAAAATTGTTGACACAACTGGCTGCTTTGCCCAGCCTTAATACACTGGGAGGGACTTAGTCTTACTATAACTTGATATGCCATGTTTTATTGATTCTCATGGGAGACCTGCCCTTTCCTAAAAGAGATGGAAGGGGAGAAGATTCAGGGGTAGAAGGGAGGAAAAATGGAGGAGAGACTAGGAGGAGAGGATGGGGAGAGGCTGCAGCTGGGATATAAAATAGGGTGTTGTAGGGGAAGCTGTAGCCACGCCTACTTAGGGGCTGGCTACAGGTGTGCCTGCCCACGCCCTCACAAGCTTTCGAGGGCGTGGTCAGGGGACATAGGGTGATTACGTATGCTCTTTTGCTTTCACTTTGCTTCTTGGTGTACAGTCTGCTGCCACGCCAGCTGGCTAGGTCGCTCTGTAAGTAAGGCTTTTCCCTATTAAATACCCTTATATCTCTACCTGACTCTGTATTGGTAATTTTGTATCTTCTTATATTTTACCTTTATGATTGTTAATTTTGGATACTTTAAACTGTTAAGTTTTAATCCTCTTTTAGACTAAAAAGGGAATTGTAGGGGAAGCTGTAGCCACGCCTACTTAGGGGCTGGCTACAGGGGTGCCTGACCACGCCCTCACAAGCTTTCGAGGGCATGGTCAGGGGACATAGGGTGACTGCATATGCTCTTTCGCTTTCACTTTGCTTCTTGGTGTACAGAATGCTGCCACTCCGGCTGGCTACGCCACGCCGGCTGGCTACGTCGCTCTGTAAGTAAGGCTTTTCCCTATTAAATACCCTTATATCTCTACCTGACTCTGTATTGGTAATTTCCCACTTTAGGGTGTAGCTTAATTAATGTGGGAATACACAACAACCCACAGTGGGTGGTACCATTCCTTAGGCACTCTAGCTGAGAACTCTAGCTGAGCATGTGCTTGCAATCATGAATTCATTGTTCTCTTTTTGACTGCAGATAGGATGTGACTAACCGCTTCAAATTTCTGCCTGACTTCCCAGCAATGATGGGCTGTAACTGGGATTGTGAGCTACATAAGCCCTTCCTTTTTTACAGTTGCTTGTGTTGGGATATTCTATTGCAGTAGCTAGAAATAAAACTAAAACATCCACTCTAAAAACAACATGAATTTGGTGAAGCAGCAAGGGCTCCTGAGTTCAGGAACAATCAGTCTGGATAAATCAAGGTTGGTCGGGATTGACAGAGTGCTCTCCCATGTTAGTGGTCTTTACTACCCTAAGAACAGAAGCAAAAACTGAGCAATACAAGGTAAGATCAGAATAGATATTGTTCCTCAGCAAAGAAGCATTCCCTGAGGATCATGCCCAATACTCCAAAGGATGGTCGCCCATAGTTCTCTGTAGAGTCTGTCAGTTTCACTATCCAGCATCATTATTTGGAATCCCCACAGCCTGAAATGTCTGTTGACATCAGTGTTCTCTTCAAGGGCCAGTCATTAGATGATAATATCAGGATACTACTATTGCTAAATCTATATTTAGTTTTCTTTTCATTTACCTTTGACATGGTCTTAAGGCATCCTTTGGCCAGGACCTGAATTTCCCCTTCAGTCTCTTCAGGAGCTCTACTTAATTGTCTTCTGATAGTTTGTGCTGGCAAAATACTGTCCTGTGTGTTTTGAGCCCAGGACCACAAGTCCAGCCATTCAAGAATGAACTCCATGTAACTCATAAATCTCAGTAAAATTATTGTAAATTACACATAAGTCTATATGTACATTCCATTGGCTGCTTAGAGAGGTCTATGACTCCAAGAAAAGTTAGGAAATGGGAATGGCAGATGGCTCATATAAGAGTCCTGGCTATACAGCATGAGGACAGAAATTTGGATCGCCAATAGCCACATGAAAAGTTAGATACGTCCACACATTGGTGTTGTTACAGCTGTGAATAGGTGGATAACTAGGACTTGCTGGCCACCCAGGGTAGCTGAAAAACACCAAGCTCCAGATTCAGCGAGAGATTCTATCTCAAGGGAATAAGAAAGAGGGTCATAGAGTAGGACAACAAACACCCTTCTCTTGCCTCTGCTGCAAGTGAGCACAACACACACACACACACACACACACACACACACACACACACACACACACACACACGGGGGAGGGGGCATTGGGGAAATGTACACCTGAAATTAAAATTGTTACATAATCCCCCAGCTTCTCATGTGCCATTCTCTAACCATTGTTAGGAGCATGTTGTAATGTAACTCTTTGAGGCCTAGCTGATAACATGTACTTAATAAAGATGTTCAAGTCAAAATCAAGTCATCTTTTCACATTGTGCCATGGTGTGCATGAGTCTCTAATCACAGCACACTTCAACTTGTCCTAGAGAAAGGTCAGTAATTAGATATCAGCGCATCATGATCGATTGACAACTCCTGGGGAGCAGACACCACACATGATGGGTCTCTGTGTAGACTAGCTGCAGCAATGTGATATAAACAGCAAATATGATATAATCAGCAAGAGGTTTGTGTTTTGAACTGACAGGAAGGCTGTCCATTTTTATCAGACTGAATAAACTCTGGAAGGGTCCCAGTGAAATCTATGTGCTTCTGATTTCTTCCTGCCTTTTACCTCATTCTACCCAAATTCCACCCTATTAACTGCCCTAGTTTCTGTTCAGTTGCTGTGGCAAATACCCTGGCTAAAGCAACTTGAGGGGAAAAGGGTTTATTTGGCTTGCACTTCAGCATCACAGCTGTCACAGGGAAAGGCTAGGCTGGAACCTGAAGACTGGTTTGCTTCCCATTCCACACTCCACAAACCATCACCTCCAACCAGCGAACTCACTCACAACCAAGAAGTACAACAGAAATCACAGAGAAATGCTGCTTACTGGTTCAATCAGGCTAATGCTTAACCTGCCCAGGGATGTGCCACTCAGTGTCCCAGGCTTTCATCTGTCAATTAATAATCAAGATAATTCCACATAGAATAATCTAATCTAGGCTACCCGTCAATTAAGAGTTACATCTCAAGTGCCTCTAGGCTGTGTCAAGTAGTTCATTAAAGCTAATGGCAACAACATTACCATGTCTGTGCAGCCCTGCCCCATATCCCCTAATGTCCCTCTGGTAACAGACTTGGCATTGCTTGTATCCTGAAGCCAAGACCTCTACCCAACTGTTGCCTGTGATTCAGGCTGAACTTCAAGTCACCCTCTCAACATGATTGAACAAGGATATAGTAACAGGTGAGGATTGTTTCTGTTTTAATCTTTAGTGTGTGTGTGTGTGTGTGTGTGTGTGTGTGTGTGTGTGTATGTGTGTGTGTGTGT